GTCCTTGTAGATTGTGAGGACCTAACCTGCACCTTAGTTAGCTTGTGGCTAAATCCAGTACACCACTCAATGCTGTCTTGGTTCAGCAATCATTGCTGTCTTTGGTACAGACGTCACTGCTGTTTTTGGTACAGAAGTCACTGCTGTCTTTGGTACACCACTCACTGATGTTTTTAGTACAGCACTCACTGCTGTTTTTGGTACAGTGCTCACTGCAATCTTTGGTACAGCACTCACTGCTGTCTTTGGTACAGCCCTCACCGCTGTCTTTAGTATAGCACACACTGCTGTTTTTGGTTCAGCACTCACTGCTGTCTTTTGTACAGCACTCATTGCTGTCTTTGGTACATCACTTACTGCTGTCTTTGGTACATCATTCACAGCTGTCATTTGTAATAATACCTGCTAAGGCCTCCACAGTCTCGTATGCACTGACCTTGGATTCTTTATTTGTTTCACATTTTTTTAGAAAGTTTACCATGTCCATTTATCATGTATTCTACGTTTCACGCTTTCGGACAGGCACTTTTTAACTGCTACTTGCGAATCTTACCATTGAAAAAGGTGTTACGAATCATGGTTAAGGGGTTTCCCGGTGTTTTCTTTTTATTGAATTATTTAGGTATGTGTCATATTGGTTGGTGTGTTTGCTCACACACTTTTATAGTACGAGCCCTAAACTACACATAAACCTTGCCTCAGTGTGCTTATTTAGCTTTTATTTAAAGCATTCTGTGCAAATATGAGTTCAGTAAGGCTGTCTTTTGAATCAGAACCTGTCCTGCTTGTTATTATTGAGTTGGCCCCTTAGTGGTACAAAGCACGGTAGGTGGGAGCTTTTAAAACTTCTGACATTAGTAACAGAGTTACTAACACACTTTTTAGACAAAAATGATTTCGTGGCTATGTAATTCAGTTATACTAGAAAACCCGAGATTAAACTAACCCCTTACAAGAATTACTGAGAGGAACAAAAATTTTTTAACGCCCTACGCTGGTGCGACACAGCAAGCGACATACATATGTGTCATGACAACCAGTTTTGAGAGCCCTGCAGTCGGTCACGTGATAGTCGACCTCCCGGTAACAACAACAGTAGTATTACGATACCATTTTTAAACAAAATAATCGATTTCAATTTTACATTTTAGCTTGACATTTTATCACTAAGTCTAGTTTTACAAAGTTTGAAAAATAAATTATATTGTTAAGTTCACGATGTCACATTTCGTCTCTGGTAATTTCACAAACTTTATACAAAAATTAACACTGAAAGCTGTGAGAAGTAAATTCAACGTAGTTTGTAATCGATGTTACACATTCAAGACGACTACGTAAACACACCCAGTTCTCTGTGTTGACACAAGACAGGTCGCAACCCGACATCATCCTACCCCTCCAGGTTAGGACCAGACGGTGGCTAGACACATTTAGGATGTATAAGGGCTCTTTCGCAAGGCGGTATCTGTCTACAAAGCCGGTGGCAACAGTTATGTAACTAATTCTTTCGGATCGCCTATTTTCGATTTACTACGTATGTGTAAATTAAAATTAAAGACATTATTAAACACCAGTTTCGAAGTTCCATTTAAATAACCAGTCAGATTTTTATATGTTTTAGAAAAGAGACATCAGTTTGAGAATCAATATGAATATTTTAAGAATTCTGGCCGACCCAGGGCTTGTAGCCCGGCTTCAGCGATTTTGTGGTGTGGAATATGAGAAACCAGCCACCTGTGACCAGCAGACCCAGACAAGAGGAGAATCTTCAGATTCAGACAGTAATAACGAGCACGACAAGCCGCCATCGAATGGTTTACTAGCAGACGATGCACTGAGTGAAGGTTCTGACACCAGAAGTAAAAACCACACACTTGAGACTCGGAACAATCTGGAGGAATGTAATAATAACTTCAATAAAGTCATGAACATCAACGAAACCTTTGATGAATTTAAAATTAACAATAGTAAGACAAAATGTATGACAACCAAGATTTCCAGGACAAATGGGTATCGGCTAAGCGGTCCACCTATCATAGATTTGAGCAGAAGCAAAATATCAGAGTGCAGCTCACATCCTGCAGGTGTGAGCCTACTCAATGGGGATGGTGTCTCAAGGAATGGTGAGAGTCAGACTGCAACCCCGCCCAGTCCAACAGTGAGGATCAAGTACAGGTCTCTTATGTATCTTGCATACTTTGGAGCTTTCCTCGGCAATGAAGAATTCTACCTGACGTTTTTCCCCTTTGGTGTTTGGAATTTAGATTCTTCCGTGATTAGGAAGGTAATCATTTTCACTTATTCTTTTTATTTAACTTTTAGTTGATGAAAGGTGTGATTAAAGGTAGCACAGAACGGATTTCATAGAAAGTCAAAGAAATCAATTGGTTTGGTCATCTGATTAGAAAAGAACGTAATCACCAAGCAGCTAGAGCAGTATTTCCAAAAGTCCAAAAAAGGGCACTGTCGCCCTAGGGGGGGGGGGGGGGGGGGGGTTGTTGGGACGGTTCAGGGGGTGCTAGCAGCCGATTCAAATTCTTTTGAGGGTTGGGGTGGATGCTGGGACGCTCTGAGGAGAGTGGGAACAGTTTCAGGTGTAGCTGGAAGGCACTGAGCAACAACAAAAATAGCTGTATGAAGAGAGAGAGAGAGAGAGAGACCGTTTAAATGCTTGAAGAATGTTTATGGAAATTCAGCAGTGAATGTTTTGCACTGTCCTACGCTGGGTACATCATTGTGACAGTGCTGAAGTTGGTCAGTCCTCAATAGCTGACACAAAGCAGACAGTCCGTCCATCTACTGCAGGGGGACTCACCTTCAAAATTTAGGAATTCTATGATCTTACTTTGTTTTAACCAAACATATTTGGAAGCCATTTTGAAACCATTACAATGCTGCCACCTATTACTGAAACAGATTGGTAAAGCTATACATTGTAGAATAGAATTATAGATTTAAAAAAAATATTTGGCGTTACTGTTTGACCTTCCCTTGTTTTTATACAATATACATAATATATCTAAAGAATCCTTAACAAGTCTACTCGAGATTTGGCCTGAGTTGAGTAAGGACTGTCCTTCAAGGGGATATGAAATGCAGAAAAAAAAGAACTAAGTCTTCTTAAATCACTTGTTTTTATTCATTGATGTTTGTTTATCAAAGTAAAAAGGAAAATATGTTTTTTGTGATTCTGTATTTTGAAATAAATCTCCTGACGGGCACCTAATTATGAAAGCCTTGAAATCAGACGAATTCTAGAAATAAAGCAAGCTCACAGGTCATCAAAGAACAACAAATGAAGTGGTTTGGATACCTAACAAGAATGTGCTGGAACTATCTGCCACAGCGAGCCACACTAAAACGTTACAATAGGTATAGAGAAGGCGGAAGACCTCAGAAAATATGGAGTGATGGCATTAAGAACAGCTTTACAGAAATGAGCATCAGTCCTAATAGTGCTCTTGACAGAGCTCATCAACGAATGTTACATCTCCCCCTGACACTTCGCTAAGGTACAAGGTGGAGGAGAAGAAGAAGCAGAAAAAGAAAGTTTTATTCTTGAACGTATTTTCCAGGTTGCCATGTTGTGGTGCGTAGTTATGTACCTCGGACAAGCCACCAAGGATTACCTCCGCTGGCCCAGGCCGCAGTGGCCCCCTGTGGTGAGACTGGAAACAATTTATTCTCAGGAATACTCCATGCCATCGACACATGCTATGGGTGGCACAGCTATTCCAGTCTGCTTGGCTTACTACATGGTGACACGATATCAGGTAAATATTTAATCCATCTATCTGTGTTATCATCTGTTTCTTAGGGTTTATAAATCATCATCATCATGTAGCAGGTTCTTTGCAGAATGTCGCTGTCATCACAGTCTGCCAGAAGGAAACTCGGTCTTTCACCAGTTCTCCCGCCGCATGCACTTTCACACTTTAGTCATTTATATCCTTTGCCCATCTTCGTGTCGGTCAGCCCCTGCCCCTCCTTCCTGGTACCATGCCTTCTGCTATAACTTTTTCCAATCCGTTGTGGCGCTTCATATGACCAAAATATTTTAGCTTTCGAGAAAGGATGCTGTTTATTAGCCAATCTTCCTTGATGTTCAGATCTTTTAAGATGTCAGTATTTTTCATCTTCTTTGTCCAAGATATTCTGAGAATCTTTATATAGCATTTCAGCTCAAAAGCCTCTATGCTTTTTATTAAGGACTGAGAGATAGTCCACGACTCATATCCGTATGCATTTCCATAATTGCCAGAGTTTGAAATCAGCTGCGGGCAGTTGGGCAGCAGACTTGTTTACATTTATTTTGAAAACAGAATGAGCATCATAATATCCATAAAGCAGTGGCAAACTCCTGAACATAAAATTACCTAGTAAAACCATAAATATCCAGTGAATACTGGGGTTAGTTTAGTTGTTCTGTAAAAGCTGTACAACTAATTGCTCAGAATAGAGGAAATTAACTGGTATGACAGAATGCCAGATGTGGATAGAACTAAACATATTCCAGTGAATCAAGAGGTGAGAAAAAGACACTGATTTTCAATAGGATACACATTGAGAAAACCTATTAATATTTTAACTAGAATGTCTTTGCACTGGGACCCACAGGGTCAAAGAAATAAAGGCAGACCCCCAAAACATAAATAAGGGAATTAAGAGAGGAAAGGGAAAACAGATGGGGAGGACCTGGTCAAAAGATAGGATGACTTGGTTGAGGTCTTATGCTCCACAGTAGGATAAAGGGCAGAAGAATAGTAAAGATTATGTGCCTCTATTATATAGACACATGTGCAAGCTGGACATAAATGTTACAGGTATTGAGGTGGACTTGTGGGGAAAATAAAGCCATGGACCATGTTGTCTGGAGAGAGCACACCAGGAATTGAATGAGCATGAAGGAAGAAATAATTGCTGAAAGGATGAGAGCTGAGCGTCTGAGAAGAAACAGACTGAACACAAATGTTGACAACAGTGGTCCTGAAATCCCTTGCTATAATTTTGAAAGAGTTTTTCTTAATGCAGACAGGTCTTGCTAGTCACACTCGCCATCGCCATGGCTGTGTCTTGCATGCCTCCTCATAGCGCAGTATAACACTATAGACTTGAAAGGTGCCAATCTTGCCTTTAAATTCAGTAGGAGAGTTAACTGATAGATCATTTACAGATCATAACTCTTGTCAAAACATGCCTGAAAGTCTCTTTCTCTAGTCAATTCTCCAGCCATATGTTTATATTCAGTGTCTTGTGTCTACATTCACAAAGGTTTGCCTCTGCCACATTTTCTAGAAACTGCCCTCCATCACCGTTCTCACCAGGCCACCATGTTGTTTAACAGGTCACAATACATCAACCTTTAGGAATATACTAGATTCTGGTATTGTTATATCAGCCATTTTTGTTTTTGTTGCAGTTGTGCCATGTTCTCAACCTCTCACATAACAAAACAATACAAAAAAGAAAAGGCTAGACTTTGCTGTATATGGCCAACTTAGATAGTGTCTGATACCAATTTGGTCAACTGATGTGATTGCTATGTTCCTACATACAACAACAATGTGGAACAGGAAAAGCAATAAATCAATTGTATCTTTTATCTAATACTTAGCCTTACTTTTATTGCTTTCTGTTATCATCCACATTAAGATAGATTTGTTTCAACAATGACTGTGGCTCCTGGGTTGACCCACCCTAAAATGGGTACCAGATAAAGCTTTATAGGTCACGGGACGTAAAGACGGCTAGTGTGATGTTGATCACATCTCCAACTAAGTACTGATTGTTCTATACACTTTAGGTCTAGCACTATATGCCCAATATGTCTGAAGGGGTGGAAGAGGTCCCATTCCTATATACCCAATATGCTGTGATATTTGTGCCGTTTGGCCCAACACAGCTGATCTCAGCAAACCTCTGTTTAATTGCTTTTTACGACATGCTGTCGAGGGGGTGTTGGAGTGGTTCTATTCTCCTAATGAGTCCTGAGACTCGCATAAAAACAGGTTATCAAACTCATTCAGTATCACATTAAAAGGTGACTAAACTAAGGGTTTCCTGGAATGATAAGTGTTCATGGTCCATGAACTGAAATGTCCAGATATCACAGCTTAGCTTTACAGATAACATGCTAGACTAGTAAGAGTTGTGTGTCTAGTCAGAGTAACGCGACAATTAACGAATTAGTAATGTTATCTTTGGGAGGTTAGTCAAGTAGTGTACTTGACCTTCTACAATGTGGTGTTTTATCTTGTAGGACATATTGTTCTTTTTCAGAACTGTTATATTGTTTATCACTTATATACCACCTCTTGATTTCCCAAGAAATTACATCATTGATGGGACAAAGTAGATGCTTTACACCTTCTGGTCTATTACACAGATTTGTTATAATTCCTTTTTTTTAAATGTTGTTTTCAACAACAGTATGTGACCTTTTAGAGTTTAAAATGGTTGCCTAACTGTTTTCAGTCCCAAGAAGTTGTTGCTTTGACTCTTTATATCCCACATTGTTGCACTTTTAACCAGTTCATGTCTGTATTCGAAAAAGCTAGCAAGAAACATGTTTAATCACTAGGAGTTAAATAATTCTGCTAGGTAGGTGTTAGGTATTCCTTTCTACCTTGTGAGTTGAGTTTCATCTGTTCCTGTTGAACATTAAAATTTGGAGGATCGACTTCATTGCACCAGGTATTTTCCCATTTTTCTGGGTTTCTATTAGCAAAAAAGCTAACCACCTGTAAAGAGCAGCACTTAAAGCAGGAAATTCATAGTTCCAGTGACACTCCCCAGTTATCTCCATACAAATTGTTCTAGCTAGCTGAAATGAACCCACAGCCTTCAGAGCATGAGGCAGATGGCTTGATCACTTCGCCTTGGAGACCCCTAATCAATTTCTATCTTGTAAGGTAAGGTCCTTCTATTCCTTTATCAGCCTTGGAAGGTTCCTCTGTTCCAGCTTATAGGCTTCTTCTGTTCCAGCCTTCCTTGTGAGATCCATCTATTCCTATCTTGTAAGACCTATCTATTCCTGTCCTGTAAGGCCTATCTGTTGGTATCATGTGAGGTTCATCTATTCCTATCTTGTGAGGTCCATCTATTCCTATCATCTTTTCTTATCTTATAAGGTCCATCTATTCCTATCTTATGAGGTTCATCTGTCTTGTGAGGTCCGTGTGTTTGTCTGTTCCTGTCATTTGAAGTCCATCTATTCTTATCTTATGAGGTCCATCTATTCCTGTCATGTGAGTCCATATTTTCCTGCCTAGTGAAGTCCTTCTGTTGCAGTTATGTGAGATTCATCTATTCATATCTTATGAGATTCCTCTCTTCCTGTCTTGTTAGCTCTTTCTGTATCTTCCTGTCTTGTGAAATCTGTGTGTTCTTGTCTTGTGAGCTCCTTCTGTCTCTTCCTGTCTTGTGAAGTCCATGTGTTCCTGTCTTGTGAGGTACTTCTGTTGCAGTTGTGTGAGAACCATCTGTTCATATCTTATAAGATTCCTCTCTTTCTGTCTTGTGAGGTCTGTGTGTTCCTGTCTTGTGAGGGCCATGTGTTCCTGTCTTGTGAGGTCCGTGTATTCCTGTCTTGTGAGGTCAGTGTGTTTCTGTCTTGTGAGGTCCATGTATTTCTGCCTTGTGAGGTATGTGTGTTCCTGTCTTGTGAGATCCATCTATTAATTTCCTATGAGATTCCTCTCTTCCTGTCTTGTGAGGTCCATCTATTAATTTCCTATGAGATTCCTCTCTTCCTGTCTTGTGAGGTCCATCTATTAATTTCCTATGAGATTCCTCTCTTCCTGTCTTGTGAGATCCATCTATTAATTTCCTATGAGATTCCTCTCTTCCTGTCTTGTGAGGTCTATCTATTCCTATCATGTCAGGTCCATCTATTCCTTAATTTTGAGGTTAATGTTTTCATGCTTTACTGGTTCCTCCTATTCAGCATTTTGAGATCTCTCTGTTCCAGTGTCATGTGCTGAAAACCTTGCAGCTTTTCTCCTTATTACGAGTCCTAACAAAGAAATTTATATGCAACAAATGTCACATGGAATATGTCAAGTCAGGACTTGTTATAGGAACTGCTATCAGTATGATCAGTGTTTATGACACAGTAAATCATTGATTGTGAAAGTCCTGTTACATGTGTATTGGGGTATGCCAACCTGTTAACTCTTTAAGTCCCAGGGGGTTTATCATCACAAGCCCAATGAGTAGTAAAGAGAGACTAAAATCGACACATTATGCTTTCACTTGGCTTCTAGATACGAACCTTTGAACGTATGATGCGTTCCCTGGGACTCAAAGAGTTAAGTCACAGTTTAACACACCAGATATTATTTTGAGGATGTGTCTCTCTTTATCATTTGACACACAATATAAACATCAAAGACACATAAATAAGGATCTAAATATTGTTTCCCTTCTTCTTCTCCTCCTCCTCCTTTGTCTTCTTCTTCTTCTTATTCTTTTTTCTTCTACCTCTTCTTCTTCTTCTTCTTTTTCTTCTTCTTCTTCTTCTGCTGCTCCTCCTTCTCTTCTTCTGTGTTTGCTCTTAAAAGCAGTTATCAAGTTATGCTGTCTATTACACCTAGGCCCATCACATCCAGTTTCAACACATATCTGTTGCACACTTTAAAAAAATATTTACCCAGTGTGGATTTGAAACCAAGACCTTTATGTCTATTGGTAAGGGTCTGGTCACTGCCTACTGCGACTCCCTTCATTTATTGTATTATCAGACTGGTTCTTTCTTGACTATTTGTGAATTAATAAATACTTGCAGATTAATTTTTCATGACATTTTATTTGCCTTAAGAGCTTTTTTGAAGACCCATCATGGACAGTTGGCCATTTAGCAAGAGGGACAGAGATGTGGTCTTATAGATGAATGATGAGAACACCTTGGACACATAAAAAGAATCATGAAGATGTCTTGAAAGAAAATAACCCCAAAAGAGGACTGATTGCCTAGACTAGAAGGAGATGGTCACATAAAAAGAATAATGAAGAAATCTTGAAAGAAAATGACCAATAAAAAGATAAGAAAATGACCAATAAAGAGAACTAGACTAGAAGGAAATAGTCTACATTCTGTCATCATGTACTGTGAAAGAGAAAACTGGAGCACATCATGATGGTTGGAAAGCCAGAGGGGAAACCAGGCAGAGGGAGACTGAGAGATGCTGGACAGTTTGACCTTATGGCTTGCAGGATCATCTGTGTCAGAATTCATTGAAAGTATATGATTTTATGTTAGGTTATGTTGTCACAATCGATGTCACTGCACATTGGGGATTCCCATGCATGCTTAGTCCTCCAATGCAGCAGCTACTCCTACGTACTTCTAATGATTGTTTCCATGAGAAGTTGATTATAATGTCTCTTATCTTGGCCTCGAAGGCGGCATTGATGTGCTTCACCATGCTTTACTCTAATGTCACGCAGTTGTATTAGTGTCGAAGATTCGTCATTATCCATTAGCCCAGTTGTACAGTGTCAACGATATCTGCTCTGTCCATGCTTCTTCTCACATGTGTTGGTGCAATGCTTGCCAGTTGGTCTGCTCCTGAAAGTACACAAGAAGGATATGGCTAGACATGGCTACCAACGCCACACAGCACTGACTGTAAAAATACGACAGGCTTCCCAGAAAAAATAAAAGTACTGTTTTATCTTGTTGTCAGTCATAAACTATTTCACAATGTGATTCCTATATGAGGCGTAGTTTTAGCCTTGTTTATAGTTTGTCCGCAGACTATGTGTATACATTTTTATTTTATCTTAGAATTGGTTAAGAATAGATTTGATACTGTCACCTTGACTTTTGATATAAAATGTACTTTATGCATTTTTTATTTCTGAATCAGTTGTAGCAACGGAAGTGGTGACACAGATCAGGTTTTAGGTTAGAGATTAGGTCTGGTGGTTCTGATAGCTTGTTGTAAACAGTGCATGATTTGATCTGATTACATTACTCTTAAGTTATGCACACAAGAGATAAAGGCACACTTTAGTTTTAGATTGTGACATGTTCTTGGGTACCATTTTCATGTAGACAATTTGTCAACATCATGTGCCTTCTTGTTAGATAATAGTTATTAATCATCATATCTTGCTACAGCTCTACTGTAGCATAATAGTTATGTCTGTGTTGAATTATTGAGTGTTACTGGCATATTGAATGTTTGCTCTTGGCAGGCCAGTTTTATTCTTATATTGTTTGCTGTAGTTTGTTGAGTGAATCATAGAGGGAGATAGTCGGTAATCATATTATGTTGTGTTTGTTCATCGCCATGATCATCACTCTGAAGCTTATCCTCAACATAATTTTGTATTTTTAACAGTTTTTTTTTTCTTTTTCAAAACAGTTTTTTCCCTTTTCAAAACAGTTTTTTCCCGTAATGAATTTAAATAATGCAGATACAAACAATACATGGCACAATTTATTGCGGGGCATATTTCGCTGTATCTCATCAGGTGCGTTACTACAGAGTTACATCAGCATAAAATAAAGCACACAACTGAATAAATTCAACTGAAATGCGAATAGTTTCTTCAATACATTGTCTCTGTTTCATGGCCTCCGGAAGCTCACCGTAGTCACGTGACTACCAGGGTAACTTCAAATGTACGATAAATTCCGTCTGCTTACAAAGGAGGGGGTTGTTAATTTTTATTGTAATGGCTGCGGCGATTCCCAATTTTTTTTATTTTTTTTTAAGATTTACCTCAGCAGAAAAAGCCTTTCACTTCCTCAACATGCTAAACTGATCTCATAGACAAAGACATTTTTCTATGCTTCTTTACCTCAAAATTGGAATACATTTTCAAGTAACATTTGCCTGGGAATTCAAACACTGCCTTGGAAGCTGAAGACTTGCTGCTGGCAGAGTAGCAAACCTCTTTTTAGAAGTCCGGTATAGTTAGTGTCCTTTGAATATTTACCCCGGGGCTTGTAGGTAAAGCAAATGCAAGAGACAAACCATTAGACTTGTTTTGATACCATCATATTTGGGTGGGTGTGCTGCTGAAGATGGGGATGGAGTAGTTAAGGGAATGCCCTGAATACTGTGATGTCACTTCTGAACTCAACCTAATCACCTTTACTTCTAGGAACATTTTCTGAAGGCTTGATTAACATAGGAAAACTAGTGCGATAGTTTTAAAAATAAATGTACTTCAAAGGGGATTGAAACCACTTGACCACTAGCTAGCAAGCAAAGGTTTTAACCACCCTACTTACAAAGATGACCTATCATATCTAAAATAGTTTAAAATTACGCACATGACGAAACAAATTAGTTTAGATTGTTGCTACAATTGGTTTGAAATCTGTTGACAACTGCTGACGTCTCACCTCTCAAGGATGTAGACTGACATGCCACATTGGCATTAAAGTCAGTCAGTATTTCTATTTATATCATTAGAGACTTTCGACATTACCATGGAATGACAGTAGCCATTGCAACCCAGCAGGCAGTGGATCACAAATTGTTCCTCCCCTCGACACTTAATGGCAAAAATGGAAATTGATGATGATGGTGATGATGATTAATGCTACTTTGTTGTTGTTTGGTGCCTTTTCAAAGGATATAGGGGTTTAGTGTGCTATATAAATATGGAGGCAAGGAAATTATTACCCATGGTGATGGCGTATGGCAGGTGTGACTAACAGGATCCTCTCATGTTGAGACAAATCTGCCACAGTTAAAGCATAGATTGCAGGACCTAGTTGCCATTGCTTGTATTTAGTGCTTCTTCTTAGATATTCAGCTACACCTGTCTGCAGTCATCTTCTCCTTTATCCCTATTCTTTTCCTCATTCTCATGCAGTATGGTCCACATCATCCTTTTTTAACAAATCCACCTCATTACCTGTATCATTCATGTCTCAAATGCACACATCTATGTATCGTAGTAAAGGCTTCCCTTAACATCTTCTACCCATCTGTGATTCACTATGAAGAATGTCCTTAGGGGCTACCATCCCACAAGTATGTCTAGCTATCTGAGACTTTGAAAACTAAGTATTAAGAAAAATGTTGTGATATTTGCTTTTTCAATTATTTTAATGTTTGTGATCTTGTCTAGTTAGCCAATTGTTTTTTCTGTAGGCATCGCATGTAAAAGCTTTTTAGCCATTCCTCTAACCAAGTTTCAGTGCCATAAAGAAATGAGTGCTCAGAACACAAGTCTAATAGACAAGGATTTTTATTTTAACCAGAGCTTCCTGTTCTCCCAAACTGTTTTTATTAATCTGTTCATTGCTGTTGCTGCCTTACCTGTCCTGATATTGATTTCATTGTCCAGTGATTGTTTGTTATTGACTGAGGATCCTAGGTAAGTAAAATGACCAGCTATCTCTTTAGCACTCTACACCATTATCTTTGTCTTCTTTCTGCTGATTGTTAGTCCAAATTGACACAGGCATCGGTGAGTGCAGCTAGTAAACAGTGCAGTTCATTCTCTGAATGGGTTGCAATTGCAGCGTCATTTGCAAAGAGCACCTCTTTGATGATTACCCTCCTAATCCTGGTCTTGGCTGTCAGTCTAAGAGCATTTAAGAATGGGTGAATATACCACTCTCCTGATGTTAGCAACTCTAAAATATCATGATTGTTTTTGTTTCAGGTGCCAGTGCCTGTGGTGCTCATTGTGGCCTTACTGTGGTTTTCTGTAACTTGTTGGAGCCGCCTCTATCTGGGAGTTCATACATTACTGGTTTGTTATATACCCTTATATTTTACAATGATCTTTCCTATTATAAGTGCCTTGGTGGTCTGGAGAGAACGATGATGGAGGGTGCAAGTTTCCAGTAAATGAGGCAGAGGCCCACCTGCGAAGGTGGATACAGGACATTGAAGATGCTTTGGCTTTGTGAATACACACAGCTGGGGAATTGGCAGAGAAAGAGAGACTTCAGATGTGCCATGAAGGACATGCTGATTGATTGATTATTAAGATTTGTATCAGTTATGTAGGTAGGTAATAGGTCAGTGGCTCAAGCATTAAATGTGATGCAGCATATAGTTTTAAATTGAGACTATATATCCCTGTGCAGGTTCTGGGGCCCTATTCTGGGCAAAAATAAGAATAGGCACACTACCCAAAAGCATGTGGTAAGAGTTGACTAATTGAGAGCTTACTTCAAAATGTAAGTGTATTTGCCTGGGAGGGAAGGAGCAAAAGGTCTCTATACAGATGAGTCGAATCTGTAAAACGGCTTTGTGCACACAACACTTGGGTTCTAACACAGGACTAGAATCCAACAAGAACTTGCCTCTGGAGTTTACAGTCAGTGAATGAGTAGAAGAAGAATGTTCAGACTATATATAAATTACTAAAATAAAAAACATCTTGTGCAGTATATCTTTGTCATTGAGAGTTAGAAAAAGAATTCTTGCTTGCTACATACATCCAGTTTTAACATATGGCTGTGAATCCTGGACAATCGGTAGGCAGGCCAAACAATTTCTGGAGGCGTCGGAGATGTGGTATTACAGAAGAATGCTTAGAATACCTTGGACAGCCAAAAAGAGCAACCAAGAGGTTTTGAAAGAGGCGGGAACCCGGAGACAACTTATCACAGACATCAGAAGGAGACAGTCATAATTTTTCGGCCATGTTATGAGAAGAGGGAAAATAGAACATGTTGTGACCACTGGAAAGATATGTGGTAGGAGAGATAGAGGAAGACATCGAGAGAAGATGCTTGACAGTCTTGTTGCATGGCATGAAGGTGTGTCGGCACACGAACTGATACATGCTGCAGGAGATCGCAGATTATGGAGAGGCATGATCGCCCACGCCAGTTGGCAAGGCACCTGATTATGATGATAAATCACTATGTGGGACTGTGATGTAGGACTGTGGTAGTGTTTGTTGCTTCTGCACTTTTTAACCAGTAAAGTTGAATTCCTGGAAGAATTCTTTTTTTTTTTCTGACTTTTTGTATGTTGACATGCGCGAGGTAAGGCAAAGTAGCAGATCTTATCCTCGGGATGTGAAGTGTTCACCTTTCTATGTTTAAACTATCAACGAATGAACAAATCTAATTTATACAAAGTTAGGAATTGGAAATTATGTTAATAATATATTATAAATCACTGCATCATATTTGGCAGTGGAGAAGCTGGCAGATTTGGTAAACAAAAAAGTCTGACACACGCAATATTTGATAATGTCAGTAGGTTTATCAGCCTCAGAGTGTCTACATCACCATTTAGAGTGCCACTTGTTCTATATAAACAATAGGGTTAGCATCAGATCTTCTGCAGAAGCTGATAGAACAGAACAAAACAATCTTCTGGACCATAAGGAACTCATTGAACACTACCAGCTCTACAGAAGTGCTCTTAAGTAGCCGTCTTCAAACCTCACATGTAGCATCATAACGTGAGCTATCATTTGGGTCAAGTAGTGAAGATAGCAACAATACAGCTACAGGAATGCTCAGGCACCTTGAGTGGGACACCCCCTCCCCATATTTATTTTATTGTGCGCTAACTCTTGAATACTTGCAGAGGGGTTAAGCGCGCTCCCACCATTCAACCCAGCTCCCGTAAAACCATGCATAGATGTCCTTATTTTTAACAATTTGTTTAAATACATTTCAGTTATATTATTCTATTTATTTCCCATTAAGCACATACTATTAATAATAATTATTACTATTTTTGTGATTATTATTGTGCATTTAAAGAAACCCTTAGAATCCTTGATCTCTCTTGTTCCTTCATGTTCGGGCATACAGAACAACCCTTCTAACTAGCATCGGACACAAGCATTTTACATTCAGCATATAAGAACAAAGTTTAACAAATAAATAAAATGAAATGTATTATGTGTTCATAATGTATTATGTGTTCATAGATATATAGTTAGTTTTCAAACAAACTTTTTAAGATTAAAAAAAAGAATGGAGTAGTTATCAAACATTAAAAAAAGAAAATTAGCTATCACAAATGTTAATAATACTTGATTGTTGTATTTCAGGATCTGAGCTCTCACAAATGTTAATAATACTTGATTGTTGTATTTCAGGATCTGCTGGTTGGATTCGTCTATGCCTTGTTGATTTCGCTGATCTTCTTAGGCTGTGTAGAAGAGTACGATTTATACCAGCAAACCCATCCATTTGCCGTCCCTGTAGTACTCTTCACAGCCCTGGCTTTGTGCACAGTTTGCTACCCAAGCAGCTACAAGGACTCCTCAAAGGGTGATGCTGTCCAGATCGTGGCGGCTCTGACAGGAGTTGGCATCGGAAGTTGGATTGGTTACCATCTTGGCTACTTCCATGAATCAGAAATGTTTCCGCCGTACTCAATCACCATTCCAACACTGAGTGCCTGTGTCATGGCTTTTGCCAGATTTGTTACTGGTGTAGCAGTGCTGGCACTGATATACGTAGTTATTAGATCACTGTCCATTCGATTCTATTCCTACATGTATGGCTTAGACAAACCAGACAAAACATTCCCTAGTGTCATGACCGCATACAAATTCACAACCTACACAGTCGTGGGAATAGGCATCACTTTCTTTGCACCTTTAATACATCTTTACTTTGGAATCCACCGGCCTTCCTCATTTTATGAAGTTTTGTGATCTCCTTTTCATCGTTTTAAGAATGTATATTCATGCAGCTGTCATTTAAACTTACATTATGAATTTATACTTCCATTATGCTCTGCACATTATATATGGAGATTGTTTTAAAAAATGTGTTGTAAATTCCACAGAAAATAATTATTGTTAGGAAAAGTCTGGTAAATAATTCAGAAGATTTCATAATTCAGAAGATTACATAATTCAGAAGAGTACATAATTCAGAAGATTACATAATTCAGAAGAGTACATAATTCAGAAGAGTACATAATTCAGAAGAGTACATAATTCAGAAATACTGCATTGATATTTTTGCTGTTTTAATATGTATAAAATGTGTCCTTGTATGTCACTGACTTGTTATTCTTATTAAACCAGCAGCGCTCTAGAGCCCCACTCTGTTACCTGTGAATATAATGTTAATTTGCCAGAATTTACTAGATTGTGCTTTCATCCAAAGAAAATTTTCCAGTTATTTATTTAGGGATGAATGATATAATAAATAAGGATCACTGCTGAAAATATGTTTTAAATGTAGATATTTTAGTAGATTTGATCCTTGAAAGTCCTATTTAGTTTGTGTTTTTCAAAATGGAAAATTATCATCATCATCATCATAAACCACTTCTGCCATTAAGCGTCGTAGGGACGAATAATTTGCGATCCAGCGCACGTTGGCTGCTACTGGCTATTGTCATGCACTGAAGGCATAGAGTGTCTTTAATGTTGTTGATCCATATTTCCCGCGGCCGTCCTCTTGCTCTTGTAGCTGATCTTCTGAGATGTAGTGCTTGTGATGGTTTTTGATCTTGCTGCATTCTAACGAGATGGCTAAACCACTTGATCTGCTGTTTCTCTATGAATCTAGTACAAGGTGTTGTTCCCACAATTTGCCTGATAGTTTCATTATTCACTTGATCTCAGATGGTTAAGTTGGCTGATTTTCCAAGGCACCTTATCTCGCAGGTGGTGATTTTGCGTATATGGACTTTAGATAGTGTCCATGTTTGGCACTGGTAGCTTAATGTTGGAATGAATATGCTATTAATAATCTGTCTCTTTGCACTCACAGTTATGCTTGGATGTCTTGATAATGGTGACAATTGGTATATAAGAGCACTTGCTTTCTGACATCTAGTTCCTATTTCTCTGTCAATTCTACCATCTTCTGTGATTGTACTTCCTAGATATTTAAACTCCCTAACTTGATTCAGAGCAGAATGGTTGAACTGTATGTGTAGTGGGGCAGGGGTTCTACTAACCTGCATTGTTTGGGTTTTGTTTGCATTGATCTTGATGTAAAATAAGAAATATCATTCTTTATTTTTAAAGTGGGACACTCAAAATTCAAGAGATGGTTATTTAACTACTTCTACACTATTTACTACATAAAATCACATAACTTTTCATGAACATTTCTGTCTCAGGTAATAGGTTTTGTAATGCAATGCATATTGAGCTAGAAAGACATATAACAAAAAATGTGATAGAAGAAGATTATGTCAGTTGCCTAGAACAGGAATTAAAATAACAACAGGCAATAAGCATATTGCATTTTTTTTCCTTATATTTGTGAATTAGAAAGGTTGCCACCTGCATCTTTCTCCTGTTTTGTCCTGTAAAGTGGCATTTTGAACTTAAATACAATCTACATAATAATGGGGTTGGCCTTTGAACATTATCACAACACCACATCACTAAAATGTGTCCATTTATTGCAGCCTGACTCTCCTCTGAACAAATAAGTAAATATGTTAAGAAAACTGGTTATGTCTTCTTATTCTTACAGTCCATGCTGAATTGGCATTGGTAGTCATGTATATCCACAACCTTCTGTCTTATGTTTAGTAAAGTAAAGGACCTTTTTCTGTATCTTCAGACAAATAGGGCTAAACCTTTATGTTATAGATCAACAAGCACTTGGTGGGTGATGGGGTCTGCACCTCACCAGCCGCCTTTACTTTCCTGGACTTTTACCCACTCAAGGCTGGATCGATCTGGGAGCTAATGTTTTTTTTTTTTAAGAAGTCCAGCTCATTTTAGATTTGAACCCATTACCTTCAAATTCATAGGTGAGCATCTAGCTGCTACACCATGACGGCTCCTTCTGTCTCATGTGCTTTCAATAATTTCTGTTGAGGATGATCTTTCTTGCCATGATGAAACTGTAAAGCATCTTCTCTTTCATTCTCTCTTTGCTTCTTTTCCCTTCCAGCTTTTCCATCGTCACAATGTACCCAAGATTTTTCCCTGTCATGACATTAGCAAAGAATGCTCTCATGACATCACCAAAGAATGTTAACTACTTAATGCCTGTAAATATCCATGAAAGACAACCTGGTAGGTTCTCGAAAAATGTTGTTGTATGTTCAAGTTAGTCCACATTCTATAACTACAGTGCAGACCAGACTGTTTAAAGTGATCTCTCATATAGTGAATTTCAGTTGTAAAGAACTGTTTGTTTGTCCCCGGCAATTCTTTTATGTGGTTTGAAATCTTATCTGGATAAGACCAATTTTTGATAAGAAGAACCATTTGTTGGGTCTGCACTGTATAATATTTACAAATAAATACTAACAGGAATGGTCTATTGTTTGGCTGGCTGTTTCTAATATGGCAGCTTGCAAACCAACATCAATTTTGGCTTTTCACATTTTTATGTTTTGTCATATCAGCTGCACACATAAAGCTGGAGAAGAGACAGGTAGGTCATTACAGAATATCTTCTGGATGTTTCTCTTCTGGTTCAAAATTCACTGATGGACTTAATGTTTAAGTTTTAATGAAGGCTTTTGCGAGCAGTTTTTTTTTTTTTAGACATCCAGGTATACATTCTTTGTTTGAATGACAGCTGCATTATACTGTGATAATGTTTGCTTATGTAACCTCTTTAATGCTTTCGTTGGATAACAAAAATTTTACATTGATTTATTCGTTATATTGCTTTACAGTGGTTCTCCTTGTGAAAATTGTTGTGATCTATCTAGCTAATTAAATTAAAAGTGACTATATTTGCATGATTGCTTTCTTGAAAGCTATTGAATACTTAAATGTCATCAAATTATTCACTGCATTAAATATTTTGTAACAGATCTTTCTTTTGAAAACTGTTAATGCTTGTTAAGCATAAGCTATTACCTGAATTACTAAATGTATAAGTTTATACTTATTAATTTTTTTTTAAATTTGTTCATTAGTTATTGCTCAAATGTCGATAATGCTTTGAATTTATTCTAAAAAAAAATAATACAATTGTTTCATCAACTAATTTTCATACATTTGAAATTATTTCAGCTGCAGCTTTAAAAACTAAATTCCCCAGATATAGTCAACTACAAATCTTGTAAAATAATTGTGTACAGGTATTTAGAAAAAACACATTTTGAGTTAACTAATTCTGTTGAGGGTTCCCGGATCTTTTTCGGTGGGGGAAAAAAATAGACCCACTTCTTCCTAACAAGCATATTGTAAAAGTAGACTAATAAAAGTGTTTTCTTCGGAGAAGGATTGCATCTTCCTGATAGTTAAAGAGCCAACAGTCTGCATCCAAATAAGCTAGGTCTGTAAAACAGATGTGCAGTCCTAGAACAAAACCAGAATCAAGAAATGGATGAACAAGCAAGATTTTCCGCTCTCTGCTGGTGTTTACAGTTGATAAATACTGAGAAAAAGAAGAAATGAGAATTCACCAAGACATGAACATGTATGTTATTTTCAAATGATTTAGTTTGTTGTGTACTTTTTGCAATTGTTAAAGTATCTCTAATGGAATTTATGCATATATAGTTGTGCTGCTTGTTTTTTATTTTTTTAACCGGATTCAGACCTTCTATTTACATTCCAAAACCTCTTCCTTACTAAATGGTTGTATTTTAATGTTTGTAATGATGTTATACCAATTGAAAGTTTCAACTTAACGTTTATATATTTTGTTAATTCCTGTGATAATTACTGAATACAGAATGTACGCTGTTGCTCATAATGGAAAGTATACTTTACACTCACAATGAATAGGAGATGGTAAGATGGTCTGTTAGTTAGATAAATAAACTGCAGATATATGCAGTTTATTCTTCTTTTTCTTCTTCTTCTTCTCCTCCTGCTTCTAACCTTGTCCTTCTCCTTCTTTTTCTGCCTTCTTAACTCTTTGAGTCCCAGGGGGTTTAGCATCAGAGACCCAAGGGGTGGTCAAAAGAGATGTAAAATCGGCGCATCTTGCGTTCATTGGGCCTCTGTGCGGCAACCTATGAACGTATGATGCGTTCCTTGAGACTCAAAGAGTTAAGCTCCCAAATAATACCTCAGCCACTCCTACTAAACCCTCCTTCCTTTACTGTCTCCTGAAGTGTCTTCCATATCATCATCACATAATTTGTTTCTTTCTGTAATTCTCATCTCCTGCATTAAGTTCTCCTTTTGTTTCTTCTGATACGTATAAGATTAAAAATACCATGTGGTTGTGTGTGTGTTTTGTTTTAAAAAACTAGATGCAATAGTAACTAATATCAGATGACGAGATAAAAAAAATATGTGCTTTTTTTTTCTATTGCATACACTTTGCTTATATTTGGTATTCAGTAGCAAAATGCTTGTATTATTATACGCTTGAATTTTATGTCATTTTTATAACTTGTTATACATAGCAGAGCAAAACATGGAGCCAGCACACTAGTTTGTCATGTGTCATGAAATGCTTTACTCTGTTTGTATCTACTTTGTAGTCACTTACTACAGTACTAAAGTATGGATAGAATGAAAACAAAACATGTTGGAACCATCCATACTCTATTGTTGTATATAATTGATACTTTATTGTATGTGACGTATTCATTTCCAGACACGAGGCAAAAGTACACATGCTTCACTTTTTTTATGACATATCAGTAAAAATTTTCAAGTTTTCACATATTCAGATACCACTGAATTTTCAAACAGTTTCACCTAGATTTTTTTTTGTTTTTTAAAGACATCAATCCCAGAGAATTTAAGAGATACATAAG